ATGTCACAGGACTTAAAAAAAGAACTACTCCATTAACATTGGCAGCACACAATATTAATAGTGTTTTGAATGGCACCTACATATTTTTTGTCTGGGTATAGTCAAGTTTTGACATACTCCATTTCTAAAGATAGTGAACAACTGGTTGATCAATTTCTTACATTTAAGCCCAAACTTCCCTCCTGCAGAATTAGATGTAAAATCCTTCATATTTAACCAAAACGTTTGTTTCCGAGGGCTAATAAGACAGGTGTGTCTGAAAAGGCGTACAATCTAAAGGGAGTATAAGTTTGCTAAAATGAAAAAGAACTCTATTTTATAAAGAAATCGGCCCCTACCCAGTAACCAAAGCATTACAGAATGCAGCATTAACAATACAGCATTATTTGCATTACAGAAATCAAACCATTCATATTGCTGCCAACAGGTCTTGTGCACGTTTTCACTCCTTGATGATGAGCTTCTCCAAAACTTTTATACTTCCAATTAGAAGAGACATATTGGTCAGATTTAAAGGTAACTTTAAAACTAAATCTTTGGATTTGGTTGATTTAAGTTATTTAAATCAGCCGAATCAATTCAATAATTTGGTGTTTAACTGACTACAATATGAGACTGACTTTTTACAAACACAAATTGATTGAAAGTCCTATTTGGTATCAATGTGTTCACTCTTCCTAATTGACTATTAGTTTGTCATTAAAAATAAAAAATAAATAACAGCCCCATCTAGTGCAAGAAAATGTTCGGTGCAAACCAACCAAAACTGTAAAAGCATGAAATAGAAAAATACCAATCTTTGGAGATGATTTCCAAGTTTTAGATTGGAAGACCCATAGAGCTCCAACATAATTTGCCTCCATGAGTATTTTAAAACTCATCTGTTGCCTTACATCTGTACAAGCGGCAATGATGGCTTCTTGCTGTTCTTTAACAAACCTAAAGAGTGTTTATATGACCAAATCATTCATCTAGTCAAGCACAATGCATAAGAAAAGGAATTTCAAAGGTATCTTAATACCAAAAGCAGAAAAAATTGTTTGAGTACATTAGCTTGTAAAATGGCTTTTTGTGTTTGTGTGCTGTATGGAATTCAGTGAGGTATTTAGAGCTCACTGAATACAGTGTGTGAATGAAATGTCTGCTCAATTGTGACCTTCCAGCAGCATTGTGTGTCAGTATTTAATATGTTACACGAGGAAAGAAGGGACAGCTAGCGTATCATTACATGAAAATCCACCTCTGATATGGACATGTTCCCGTTTACACACCTGTGTGCAGCACTCTCTGGAGCTATCCGACATGCTTGTTTGCCCACATCTATTTGGAGCTGGATTTATTTTGTCATACAACTGTCTTCGAATGAGAAATGTGAGATGAATCTTGTGTTGTGCAGCCAGAAAGAGCTGGTATATTTAGCACCACCAGAACATTCAGTTTTAGGGACTGTGTCCACAGAGGGACAACGGCGCCCTTCTGAGAGAGCTCTGCAAGAGAGACGAGAAACTTTGGCACCAAATGCTCCAGCTATTACAAAATGAAACCTCGCCTTATCCAAGAGCGCTAAGATGTAGATAAATAAATAAAACATTGCCTCTGTGAGCGGGGAGGCAACGTGACAGCGGGAGATTTCCCCCCCACCCCGGCTTTCATGTTGGCAGGCACAGGCATTTTATTTTTGGATGAATCAAAAATTTCCTGAAAACGCCTGCGCCAGGTGTATCTAATTATCTGACAGCGTATCCTCATTATAAAGCGGCCCAAGGGAGTGGGCGACTCTGCTTTCTGAGCCCTGGACCGCAATCAAGATGCTCTTTTCATCACAAACAAAGGCATGACAAGCCAATACTTTTCTTGAAGATTAAGTGCATTCACCTTTTTCCATTTTTGCACTTGACTGGGCAGTTTTTACATGTTTCTCAACATAGAAATGAAATACATTGATGGTCAAATTGGAAATCTGGAATGAATGTAATGGTTAAAATGAAAGTCAATCAGATTATTGAGGAAAATGAGAATAGGGCAGTAAAAGCATTTCTAAAAATAAAATAAAAACTGATCAGGTGTTGGGATAGTCCCATTTCTATTTCAGCAGTTTGGATTATGGCACATGAATTACATTTGTAAACCATAGTTAACTCTGCATTCTGTCAACCCCAGAGCACCCATATGTTAAGGGATAATTGATCAAAGATCTTGATTTGCAGAGATGCAACTTTCTCTCTCCTGGCTGTGGTTCTTGGAAGTCACAGTGGATGGGTGTCCACAACCAGATCATCTCACAGCTTCAGCTCAAGGTCCCACAGTCACTAAAAGTGGATTCGCTGAATTTTTTTGGGAGATTTGAACAAATGAACACAATGACATGATGTTCTCAGAAAATGATGTTCACTGTGAAAAGAGCTAGAAAGCTATGAAGCAGGTTCATTGAACAACACAAAATTGCTTTGTGCCCTTAAACTCGAGGATACCTGATCCGAGAAGCTGCAGTCTTCCAGTATTTTTGTCAGCTACTATTTATTGTGCAAAAAGAGAAAACTGCCGGCGGACCCATCTGCTGTGGTTCGATTTGGTAATGGTACATTGAAAAATTAACTGTTTACTCATAATGCGTAATCAAAGCGTTTTAATATTAATGATAGACAGAGACACATCTGTAGCAACATTTTTCCAAATCTAAAACCAACCAAGCATGTGTCCTCATATCTGTTTCCTGTGTTGTCATTTAATTCCTTTAAAAATGCAACGGCAGCCCATCTCTCGCACGCCTCCTGACTGGCAGACTGTAATACCATTACCTCTCCTCGATGGTCATGCTCACTTAGCCCTCTGTCACTCTACACTGGCCAGGGAAGACGCATCTGTCTGGCTGTGAGTGTGCTGCCCTTGGACCTCATTTGCAATTGCTGCTCTTCAGCTCAGCTTGCCACAAAAACACTGAAGCACACAAACTTTTCAGTTCATTATCTCGCCTTTTAGGAGTTTTTTTTTTTGCTTTCCAAGAAGCAAAGTATGACTGCAAATCACGGGTAATTGGCTACATATGAATCACTCCTCAGCAGTATAGGCTGATAGACTGTAAACCTTTGTTGTTTAAATTTACTTAAAATGATGTAAAAAGAAAAAACGTATACTAAAATCTTAATGCGAAACATATAACTAGCAGATTGCTTTCCACTACTTTGAGGTTTTCTTGATTTCTACACAAATCCATTATGGCACTTTTCACAACAGCTCATTGTGGATCAGACCTGATTTTAACAGGCTACAATAAGTTAAAGATGACGATGTTATGTCTAAAAATAACCCAGATTTATATATTTTATCCAAGTTTAGATAAAGCAAAACTACTTTGTCTAAATGGGATCTAACTATGGACATTCAGGATATTCAAATATGTGAAAATCTGTGTCTTGAAGTCCTGAAGCAAAACTCAGTAACAGCTGAATTATATAAATCCATTTTTTTGGTTGTGATATTACTGCATTAATATCAATGTGCAGAAATAGGTGGTCTTTTTATTTATTTCAGAGCTAACTGAAAAATTGAGTATGACAAAATTCTTCCATATTTGTGCTTTAATGTTGGAAACTTGATATCTTGCCAAGCCCTGCAGTTATTTAGGGCATCAACATTGCTGCTTTCTGGATATCAACATAATCAAAATGGTATTATTCAACACAAACAATAATTTCCACCTCAAACCAGTAGTTTTATACAATGGCAGCAACTGATCCCCTTAATTCACCAACTTCTCATAAGAAAGCAGACACAGAGAATATTCTCTGGGCAGATTGAAATATAAATAAAACAAAGAGCTCAATTTGGGTTTTTAAGTAAAAGAAATAGGAGAATGACAATAAAACTGTGTCTCGTACAGATTAAGCATATGGAAAGAGTACGGGTAATAAGATCTAGATGCTTTCGGATTCTTATGCTCATTGATTTTATGTACCAAGTTTACGGGCAAACATATCCAATCGTATTCACCTCTATGAGAACTTCTACTATTATACCAAATACATTCAAACTCTACATGCGCCACTTACATGTTTAGACGCATTTTAGAACAAAAATGCTTTTTTAACAGTTAAGCTGTGTCAAACATTTTCAGTTGTTTTAAGTTGAGGAAGAGGAAACTAGCTAAAACAGAGGCTGTTCCTCTGATTAGTTCAGGGGTGTCCAACTCCAGTCATCAAGAGCTCAAGTCTGGCATGTTTTAGATGAATTCCTACCACCCAACACCCAGAGGAATGGTTGAATTAACTCCCCAGTGCGTCATTGAGTTCTGCAGAATTCTGTTAATTAACCTGCAATTTCATTCATATTTTCTGAACCAGAGGATCATTTAAAACAAGCAGGACAACAGATCCTGACTACAGCTTGACACACCAGGAGAAGCTCTGAGCCGTCCGTCATTGTTTCTCTAATGCAGGTAAGAGAACAATTTCCAATCAACACTTTTAACATATCCAAAGAAGAAAGCAGGTTGAATAAATTAGCAGCTAAGTGTCTAATTATAGACTAACTACAAAGAAGGGAAAAAAGCGGGCTTGTGGTGACATCTACTGCGCATGATCCGCTGTCAGTCAAAAACTGGCATCAAAGCCTGACAGATAAGAGCGGGAAAAAAAAAAATAACCAAACTGGGTGAGTCACAGCCCACCCACAGTCTGCATTACCTGAGTTAGGACTTATTTGCTCAGATCACTCACACAGCAGCAACCATCCGTGAAAATTTAACTTTCCCAACAAAACCAATTCCAGCCATTTCTATGTCTTCTCTGCAGGTTTGAGGGAGAAAAAACAAACAAACAAAAATAAACTACGGAGCAAACAGTCCTTGCACTAATTACTTGACCATGCTGCTGAAAATGTCTCAACCTCATCCGGAATGCAGCATTGTTAAATCAAATCTACATCCAAACAAATGCACAACTGCTGCTCTCATGAACCGAGAGCCGTTTAGAGGAAAAAAAAAAAAAGTAGCTGTTACTTACTATGCACCCAGGCAGGAGGACATAAAGCTCCGGTGACTGTAATTAAAACAGAACGCAAAACAAATGCGCATTGTTTTATTATTGCGTGCTTTCTTTGACAGAGCGCATGCATGTGGAAAATATGTACTTACCGGAGCCGTCCGGATAAATTCCTTGGGAAATTCCTAAGGAGTCTCTCCTCTCTTCTGTCTCAAAGTCAGAAAACAGCAACGCTTATGTTCTTATTCCAAAAAATAAGAAATAAAGCAGGGACCCCCGATTTTTACTGAAAGAGAGATAAGACACCAAAAGAGCCCAGAAGAATTCCGTTAGAATCGAGAGTCCAGCCCATCTCCTCCTCTCTCCCCACACCACCCAAAAAGTGTTGACATGACATCTGTGACGAAAGAGGGGGGAAAAACGCGACTCGTGAGAAATTGGCAAAATAGACAAATAGGTACCTGCTCTCTTTATCACTGTCGGCAAAAGACAGTAAGAGCAGCAGGGGAAAAAAAGAGACGGTCGGAAGCTTTTTTTCTTTTCTTTTCTTTTTTCTTAGTTTGTTTCTATTTTTTTCCTGTGGAAGCGCAGCAGCCAGAATGCTGTCACATCCCGAGCTGCACACATTCAAACAGACGTGGAGACTGCTGGAGGAAGGAAAGGGAGAGGAAGAGGCGAGCGGAGCGGAGAGGAGCCGCGGGATGCTGCTGCGCTCTGAGTTGCACTGCTCAGACGAGCCGCTGGATGGCCGGCTGGAGGAGGGCACCTGGCGGGGTCCACAACATGCCCGATTAAACCGCTCCACTTGCCTTTGAGAAGGTCCTAAAACAGCTACCAACATTTAAGGTTGATATCTTAAAGATTTTTCTGCAGTAGGGTGTAACTACTATCCCCGTTCAGTAATTATTGCGCCTGACACAGTGGCACGTCAAATAAAAGCTCCTCCAAAATGCAGCCTCCTTTACTGAAGAGCTTTTCATACCTAAATAAACATAATTACAAGCAAATTTGGTTGTCCAGTTTAATTAAGCGAGCTCCATGTTGCATAGGAACTCACAGACCACTGGTTTTGCTGAAAGTTCATTTGTGAACATCTGACCTGGACAAAACAAAGTCAGCAAATTGTGACTTTTCATTTGAAATCATAAGTGGGTAGTAACAAATACTAAGTAAAGTAAATGTAATTAAGTAAACTGGTTACATTTACTTAACTATGGAAAAAAAGTTTTCGGAGTAGTTTTACGGCACAGTCCTTTTCGCTTTTTCTTTAGTACTTTTATAAAGTGTCACGACTCGAGTGAAAGTTCTAGTTCACCAAAAGCACCAAATGGTAGAGATCCAGACACAGCTGCCTACTTTAAGCTGAAGTAAGACCTCTTGTTTCTCTGAAAACTTTGTTATTCTAATGTCAATTTGCTGAACCATTCAGCATTGAAAGTACTTTAGTCTGTTCTAACATACAGTATATTTCCATGACAGACTATATATTTATGGTATCTTTTAAATACCAAATCAGATGATCACATACTTAAAATGCCTTTTGAGTAATTTGTTGGGCTATTACTTCTTACTTGTGTAAAAATTTTCACAACTTGTACAATCACTACTTTAGTAGAATTTTTACTCTACTCTGCTTACTTTAGCTTTGATGCTAATTTTTTAGCATCAGATCACTGGGTTCTGGGTTCCAACCGATGGAACCCAGCTTAGCACTTTAAGAGGCCCCATTTAAATTTCTTCAGAAATTTTCTAGTCATAATTTTACAATTAATTCAAAAGGAAGACAAAATTAATGAGATAATATTTAGAGCTACTTTTAGCTTTAGAATTTATTGGTTCTTAGCAGGGTTAGCGTATGTATAACATTATTCCTTAACATTAAGGAATAAGGGAAAGATGACAGACATATCTTGATCCAATATGTTCAGTGTCAGACAAAAGAGAACTCCCCTAAAGAAGTAAAATAAATCAACTTTACTTTGCTTTCTCTTTTGCCTGCAGCTGAATTCCTTTGTGCAGTTCCCTTGCTAAAATCTTTCTTTAGCTTTTGTGCTTCTAATTTGATTCTTACCAATGAACTGATACTGCATAGACATTTATATTACTAGAAAAGTCATTTATTTCAGAAACTAAGTGAAATATTAATTACACACAGATGAGTGTTTTCAATGTCATATTGCATATGTTGTGAAAAGAGCCAAAATGCAGAGATAGACAAAGGTTAACAGAAGATATTTAATGATAAAAAGGAAAACTTACAGGAGGAGTTGTAGGGAGAGCAGGTTATGGAACACGAGGGGGAAACGTGTTGAACAGGCATGATAAGAACAGGTACTGATGAGCTTGTATACTGAGGTAGAGGTGGAAATGACAACGTAACCAGGAGAGCTAATTAGAGGCAAATGGCAAACACCTGAGGCAGAATGCAGAGGAAAATCAAGTGATGGGAAACAGCTGTGAAGGGAAGGATACTGGCAGAGAAGGTGAAATTATTAAAAATAATAATAATAATAATAATAAAATCAGTGGAGAAGCACTGGGATTACTACTAATTAAAATTCTCTGTTTAAAAACTCATCTCACTCACTGCTAGATTATTCTATTACCTTCTTGTATCAAGTCCCTGTTTGTTTCCTCTCCTTCTTGTTTCTTTTAAGTTCTTATTTTTTATTAAATCTCACTTCAGCCTGTTTGTATTTGGGTCCAATCATCACCAAACAATGACAGTATCAAACTTAAAGGTGCTTCTCAGAATTTGTTTAGGGAAAATCTGTTTCAGCAAAATCATAATGCAACACTGGGAATGTTGATTTTTTTTATTTGTAATGATATTCATAAGGATATTCAGATGTTTTTTATATAATTATTATTTATTGAATTTAGGTTTATGCTTCACTTGCTTACATACACATCTGTCATGAAGTCCAAATGGCAAGTTGGTATATTCTTCAGAGACAATATTTTTGTGTACAACAAAGCACACGCACATATATATGCGAGAAATACTTTAAAGTATGATTCCACATTGCTACTCATGAAGACCCGCTGTAGGAAAAAAAAAATGTTGGTTAAGTAGCTAAATCATTTTAGATCAGACTTTTTTACAAGTCATGATAAAATTTAATTTATGTGTCTCAGATTTCCTGGCATTAGTTTACTGACTCATTGTCGTACTTTCATAAGAGTCGATGTTTGACTGGACCAACTGTCAGCTCTAAATGTAATTTTGTACACATTCCACGCATACGTCTTCAGATTTCCTGCCTACTCTGAGCACCTTGAGAATCTCAAATTCTTCGCATGCAATGAAAACTGGGTCAGCAGTGGAATGAAATACAACTAATCCAAGATGACTAAATGTACTGTTCTCTGTGAATGACCCTATCAATTTTGCAGCAGGAGGAAGGATTTTGATGCACAAAGCGAGGATTCCTTTAGAATTATTAATCACATTGTGTTTAAGCAGTTGGCCAGGGGTGGACATATCAATGCTTCAATTTAATGTTTGACATTTAAAAGCAGAAATTCATTATTCTTTATTCATTATTCTCATCAGAATCTGGTGCTCATTGAACATGATTGTATGAGAGTTTTCTCTGCTCCACCTCTTTACTGGACATCAGCTACATCTGAGTCTCATAGCTGAGGGTGGGAATACTTTGGTAACTATGGTTAGCTGTATAAATGATAATTTAAAAAAATCAAAAAATGTAAGATAATATAAAAAAAATATATATATGGAGGAAAATTCCAAAATGTACCAAGTAATAAATAGAATGCATCAACAGGCGATAGATAAAATAACATCCGATAATAAAACTAATAATTTTGAATAAACATCTGAAAATGTGTTTTTACTTTTGTCATTATGCAATGCTCTGTCTGTGTCATGTGTGAATCAGCTTCATGAATAATTATTTAATGCAATAAAACAACATTTGGAAAAGGAAATAAGGTGTGAATACTTTCTGGGGGCAAATGCTTTATAATTCATTTTAGTTGCCTATTCTGCAAATGTTATTGATTTATTGTTTATTACGTATCTGTTGACTTTGTTCTTTATCCATGATATATGCAATTTGTATTCTGCTTTAACATTTATGTATATGTTTTCAATGTTTGCATGGTACCTTATTTGGTATCATACCAAATTAACAATATGGATTTGGAGTTACTGAATGGACATGAATGCTTGAAAAACTATATTGCCACCAATTAGCTTTTACTTATACACTTGAAGGGAAAAAAATCCTTCCCAGAAGAAGTATATAAATCTGAGTTTATTAGCTTAAATAACTATGATTCTCAAAGACTCCAGCTGGAAGCCTGAAGGATTCTAAAGCCCACCAGAGCTAACACAGACACAGCCAACCATAAATGCTCACATCCACTGGAAATTTATAATCACCAATTAACCCAGAGCTCATGCCTTTGGACTGGAGGGGGAAAGACAGAGCACAGGGAGAAATTTTATGGAAGTACAGTACAGACAGTTTATGCAAACCTTATACAGAACAGAGTATATCCCTAAACCTCTAAAACTGAATATGTCAGTTTTATAATGTAGCTTGAAATGCCGTTGGTCACATTTTTTTGCTTCTTTTAAAAGGTAATTTCTCAGAATATATGAGAGGGATTATATTAAAGTATATAATCAGTGGAATGAAAGGGGGTGGGGGGATAACTGATTAAGATATACATAATGTCTGAGCAGTGATTCCCATCATTGAAATGAATCAAAGAAATTGACAACCTTTAAAAAAAAAAAAAAAAGATTTGTCTTAGAGTACTTTTTTGACTGGCAGAAGTTCTGACAATGTTCAACCCTCTCAAAATATTGTTCACATCAGTAAAATTAAAGTCCAGATTTGCAACCTTTAAAGAACAAAGCACTGTGGGAATATTAATAAAAGAAGACTTTTTAAGTGATTCAAAAAAACTTGAATCTTTTTTGCTCATTATTAAAAGCCATGTGTTTTCATGCAACAAGATATTAGAAAATGTGCAGTAAACTTCCTGCTGTGTGCTTTCCAATCATGCTCCCTCATTAGTCAAGTCATTGATTAACGGTAGCACAAGCTTACCAACAGCAATAAAAAATGTGTTTTGTACATTTTTATGAAAAACCTTTTTCTGAAGTGGATATGCTGCTGCTCCAGTGACACAGATCCCTAGAATGAAGAGCCAAAGTAAATCAGCATAATAGAAGTGCAGCAAATGGCACTAAATTATTTTGAAATCTAAGTTTTGGTTCTTAATGGGATTCTATAAACACACTGATTGCCACTTGTCAGATCATCAGTTGAATTCAAGAGGTTAATGTAACCTTTATCTTTGTCACTGAAGGTTATGCTTTTGTAGTGCAGGAGAGCAGCACTACAAAAGTGCTCTTGACCTTTTGCAGAGATGTTGTGTCTCATGAAGATTTCATTACCATAGCTTCCACAGAGCTCCAGTGACCTGTTGATTGATGCTGCTGTGTGTATTTTTTGTTTTGTTTAGAGAGTAGAAATCCCTGAGGGTATCAAAAGCAGACACGGTGAACAAAATACTGTGTAGATGCTATCCTGAGACACTCTTGGAGATGTTAAAATTCATTATGCAAAGATAGGAAGAGTACGTCCTACCTAGTCTGAAGAGAGCCATAACCAGCTTGAAAGTCCAAGATGCTAAGACCAACAGCTCAAGTAGGAGAATCTTG